GCGCCGAATCTGAGGCCGGCACTGAATTAGTAAATAGATAAGACAGCTACACTGGATGTTCGTTTCGAGTCTGAATCCTGCTGAACTGGGCACCGCAATCCGCTTTCTTGAGTTTTCCCGTGTATAACGGGAATAAAGCAACAAATTATAAGCAACAAAGGTGGTCCACCTGTTAGGTGCCCCCATAACAAAGTGACCAATGCCTATAAGGGTTAGTGCCCGCCACTTGGGGGGGGGCGGACTTTAAAACGTGTTGTAAGCAATTACTTAGATTTTATTCGTCCCTGCGTCGTCCGCTATAGATGGTTGTATCACTTTTCAAATTGTTGTCACCAAATATTATCACCCAGAATTATTTTTAAAAAAAAATTAAATAATGATGAATCTGCATGTACGTATGTATGTTCCTCGCAATGTGGAAGGAAAAAAATACGGTACCTAGAGCCATCACATTTTGAATAACGTACTGCTCCACTCGAACATATATATATATATGCACCTGGAAGACCGAATTTTGATTTTCGAATTTTATATTTAATACTTTGTAAAACTTTAACGAATTTCTGATGAACAAACTCAACGATTTGAATGCCAGCAATTGCAGCACTGTACAAAATAAAACATTTTGATCTCCAGCGAGCGTGATTGTCTATCGAAAATTCTAAGGATATACTGTTTTTAAATATTTTGCGATTTTGCCGTTGAGCTGAATTTTAAGCGACGTAAATGCGAAGACCGTGATATTTACTAAATAAATTTAAGACATAAAACATTTATAATAATAATAAATAGGCCAAAAAAAGTTTTGCAAACCACCTTACTAAGAAAACTGAACACTGATATGATAAACTGAGTAAAAACTGGAAAGAAAAAAAAAAAAAAAAAGGTATGTCAACACTGCGTCGGGAATTTTAAACATATTGCAGCTCTTAAAATAATTTTTGTGATTTTGCTGTTGTTATTGCACATTAAGTGTCAAGAAAATAATGGTTAATAATAAAGCTAAAATGACAAATTAAATTGGTCAGCAGGGGTGATTTCGCCAGTTGTCTGCGAGCTCAAGGAGAGGGGAAAATACCTTGACAAATCCTTTTGGGTGATCATTAAAATCTAAACGCTCTTAGATTTTAATTCTTATCTTTTTAACTTATTTGGAGAAAAATAAATATCTGCAGTATACGCGTTGACGATTTACTAATGTAACTGCGATTTAATATTAATACAAAGCTTTTAACTAGTACTGGGTATGTTAATGGTTAAATTGTTTTAATTATGACTATATTTTTGAAAGTGTAAATTATCGCCTGCTATTTGACGTATTTTGTTTTCATGCATAATGGCGCTTTTAAAGAAACAATACGGAAGGCTATTTCGTGCTTTTCCGAAGAAAATTATTCGTATTTAGTTATTAAAAAAATGCTCTGCAATTAAAAAAAAAGTTTGGCTTCAAGGAGAAAAACTGTTCAAAAGCGAGAAACATACATACATTTATGCAGATTCTTCATTATTTGATTTCTTTAAATAACACAGAGTTCTAATATTTGGTGGCAACAATTTGAAACATTTATAAAACATTAACAAACATTTATAGTGAACCGACGGAAAATGCCGAAACGAAATTAACATCCCTTCTGGACTAACGCCCATTGGGTTACAAAGAAAACGGTATCAGTTGAACGTTAATACTGGTCTTTTTATCGATATGAAATATCATGCTCAATATTTTTGTAATAAGGGATGTTAAATACTCGTAATTCACAAAAAACGTTGGATCCAACGGCCACCTGGAATTAGATGAATAAACTAATTAATATACTATTAAAAAATCATACTTCTTGTAATAAATAAATGTCGCACGTGTATACACACACACGTACAAAGAGGGTTAAAGAAAAGTAAAAAAGAAACAAGGGCTTAAACACAGAGAGTTTGAAAATTAAAAGATTATCCGGAATCTGTAAAGTTACTCAGAATTACTGTACATACAGTTGCTGTTATCACATTTTTAGACAATTTTGCTTTGCTGTAAAGAAAATAATAATAATAATAATAATAATAATAATAATAATAATTATAACAAAAAAAAAATAAAATCTGAAATGTTTCAGATTTTTAAATTACGTCCAAAGGGGCGTTTTTTTTTAACGTTTTGAGTGTTACCTTTATTTATTAAATATCATGTTCTTTGCACTTAAACCATAAAATTCAGTTCAAGAGCAATATCGCAAAAATAATGTTAAATTAAGCTATCTTTAATTTCCGATATACACAGTCTCGCGAGCTGGAGAAAAGTATTTTTTTTTTTTTTATATATATATAAGTTGCCATTCCTCGCTTTTAAAGCATTGAGTTTGTAAATCAAAAATTCGTTAAAGTTTTACAAAATATAAAATCTATAAAAAACAAATTCCAAATTGGGATTTCAGATGCCCTATTCGCAGTAGGATTTCGTCATTCAAATTCGATGGCTCTACGTACCACTGTTTTATCACAATGCGAGAAATAGACAATTCATTATGCAGATTTTTCATTATTTAATTTCTTCAAATATAATGCAGGACTCTAACATTTTGTGGCAACAGTTTGAAAAGTGAACCGACGTTTATGAGTCCGACGCAAAATGCCAAAACGAAAGCAATAGTCCTTCGGGACTGAAATCCCTTTGGACTAAAAAAAAGATCTTCTCCGTGGAATTTTTTTTTAACTGCAAATATGTTTTTAAAAGTATAAATTATCGTCTGCTACTTGACAGTTTTGTTTTCATGCAAAATGTCGCTTTTAAAGAAGCAATGGATGGAAGTCTATGTTTGTGTTCTTTCCGAAGAAAATTATTCTAGTTACTAAAATAGTTGTGAAAAGCATGGTTTTTCGATATCTAGAGCTACGATAGATAATCTTGTTAACAGCAAAGGGAAAAAAAACATCAAAATTTAGCTACAAGACGAAAAATTGTTCTAAATACCTATCCAAGGAAAAAAACGGAATGTTTCGAATGTTGCAAAGGTAAGAACTGTAATGTTAAAATCTTCGAAATCAAAGGGACAGTTCCTAAAATCATTAAAATACTCAATGTCAACTGTAAACAAAGTGATTAATGCGGATTTGAATCTTAAAAAGGCGAAAAAACATAATGTGTATCGTCTTTTTCCACGACATGTCGCCGAACGCGAAACGCGCTGAAGAATTCTTTAGGAGGAATATTTATCCGGACAAAAATGGAAAAACAAATTTCACAATAGACGAATCTTGGATGTACTTATATGACTGCAATAAAAAGAGATCCATTTATTATCATCAAAGAGGAGGAAAAAGGTCTTAAAACATGGTTCAAGGAATCTAAAGAGAGTTTTTCAAAGAAATTTGACAGTTGCCGGTTTTATACATTACGACAAACAAAAATTAAACAAAGTGCAGAAAACTATTAAGGTCAACTCCATATATTATCAGGAACATATTTTATACTCAGTTAAATGGAACAACAAACGGGTATCAAGGCCACAACCCTTCACACATACTCCTACTAAAATCTCCTAATATACTCAAACTCCTATTACATCTATCACCAATTGCGCCTTTGGACATTTAAAAAGAGGGTTATCCAAACGTTGACCTACAACCTCCTTGGACTTTGGAAAGCTGTCCGAAAGCAATGGGATAAAATACGTCTTCAGGTACTATAAAAGGCTTTATTGTACTAGAAATTACAGTGTATAAAAATAGTGAAGAATTAGGGTTATCAAATAGAATATTTGAAACAAAAATTTCAAATTCAAATTAGGGCTTCCACATGCCCATATTCTATGGAAGATTACGTTACTCAAATTTGGATGGCTCTAGGTCTCGTTGTTTATCACAGTGCGAGACACATACATACATTTATGCAGATTCTTCATTATTTAATTTCTTCAAATATAAGACAGAGCGATAATACATGGTGGCAACGATTTGAAAAGTGATACAGCCTTTTAAAAGTTTCAACGCAAAATCGCAAAACGAAAACAATAGTTCTTCAGGACAATTTGGCCCTTTGGACTAATAAAAATTTTAGATAAAATATTTCTGTAATGGCAATGAAAATCGTCTATCAACTGCATGTATAAAATATAGATAAAAATAAAATTCACTTACTGTTTTTAGGCACTGTGTATTAACAATTCAAAGAAATGTATACCGTAACACATTTACTTATATTGCATGCGATTTGAAGCATTCTTGTAAAATATCGGTTCTGATATTTTACAAGAATTATTCTGATAGGAAATAATCGTAATCGTAACGTTGTTTACTCTAGTTCTTACCTTTCATTCACACTAAACCTGAAATTAATAAAACTAACAGAATGCTTTCATGTTTTATTCAATCGACAAAAGTAACTTCCTTATATAATTACATATTTGGAATTTAAATGTATCACTTTCATTATACCAGCCAATCATTTGTCAAGAATCGAAAAAATAAACAGAAGTTTCAGGTTTTTTGATATAATTCAAGAACACATTTACAGATTTAGATACGTAGAATGTACTGTAAAAGTTACCAAAATAAGTGCTTCAAGTTAAAGAATCTCAAAAACATTAAAACCAAAATTTATTTACAGTAAATTATGCAATTCTTTAATTGCTCTTGGAATTCCAATTGTAGCTATACACGATCCAAAACAATTAAACCACAATGCAATATTTACATTATTTCTAAATTTCGCTCGAAGAATTTTAATATTTAAGGTATCCTTACAGAATAGCGAGGTACCACGTGCGAGTTGCACACAATTTTCTAGCTAACCACGCAATCGCCGTTCGAACATACACTTTCCTTGCAGTTACAATTATTATTATTCAGAAAACTCCAAATGATAAGCCTTTGGCATGCTTTTGATGCATGATAACGGAAATAATAATTGCACAAACAAATAAACCAAAAATAAAAAATAGAAAAAAATAAATTCGATATCATAGCAGACGACAAATCACATGACCATGAATTTCTAAAGCACAACTCACCAGCATAAGCTGCGTTTCCTTCCAACACACCGCCACCTCGCTCACATGGAATAAAAATCCATCATGGAAGACTGTTTTTCTTTTCCGAAAATTTAGCTAGAACGGTGAAAACGTCAGAGAAAGAGAGAGGGATTTAAAAGGGTAGGTGGCCTACAGTTCTGACACGGGTCACCGCATGTGGGAGAAATACAGGAGAAAAATCTTCAGGGGAAAATAGGAAAAATGCACACCTCAACGCTGCCCTGCACGCTTACGTTGCGTCGTAGGGTTGCCACGAGAAATGGCAAAGATAAAATAGACAGTGGGAAATTTTCTGTCGCCAAAATAATTTCAAACGGAAGTCGATGGCGCCGCGGTAACCGTACTTTTTTAGCTGTGGTTACACTTGAGGTAAAACCTTAATTTGGCTGATGATTCATGATAAATGATGATTAATTCGTGGAAAATTTTCTTACAATGACCTCGATAGTTTTTCTCAATAAATGCATATTAGAGTACACCCAAAGGTAATATGATTTTAGGAAAATTAAATCAGTTTAACGATAATCAGCGATTGTTCTAACAATGACCTCTGAAATGGATGGTCTTGCGTTGAATCTACTTGAATATTTATTCATTCAGTCATTCTAGCTTTTGAACTAGATCTGACTCCATTCCATAACTTTTGAAGAGAAGTATTTAAAACTAACCGCTCTCCAGCCAGCCTGTCTGGCTTTTAAATGTACCAGAAAAATGCCTAAAGGGAACATCAAACATTTAATTTAAAAACTGCACAGAGTTTTACTTTGCAATTTAACTTTATCAAAAAAACAGACAACAACAAAAAAAACAAAAACAAACAAAAAAAAACTTCAATAAAAATGTATTATATATATAAAAAAATTACAATGAAATAAGCAATACCACTTAACACAAATAGTAATTATACTAATAAATAAATTAACCAACTTCCCGTTGCAAAGTCTTAAGAATTCAAATGGTATAAAGGAAGTGAAGAACTTTGTTTTCTAAAAAAAAATCATGCAAAACTTTTTATATAATTAAAATTACATATAATTAAAACATAATATAAAAAAAATTACAAAGAAATAAGCAATAAATCTCGTATTTTTAAGAGAAAACAGTCAGCAATCCTGTATCCAAAGCAATGAATGAAAAACATTTCTAAAAGGTTTTGAATGAAAAACAATTCTAAAAGGTAAAACATTTCTAACGAAATCACATTTCTACAACAATGAAACTATTATTAGAAAGGAATAACCAATCAAAATTGGGCTTTGTGAATGACATAATTCAAAATATGCAAACCTCGGACGGGAATGAAATTTGTTACAACGTTCCACTTAGTATTTCATATTTGTTGTCTGTAATTTAAATGACATTTTGAAGTACGTACGGAACGATAATAATTTTTTAAAATATAATAACACAAAAATGAAAAGGGAACTCGGGTACATTTATCGAGAGCCACAAGTAATCCTTCAAAGTGCCGCATGTGGCTCGCGAGCCTCAGGTCGCCCAGCCCTGTTATATACAGTGCGTTCGTAAAGTCATGGTGCGTTTTTGATCGGTCACAAGAAAGCAGCAAAACACGATAGAAATGTGAAATCTTCACCAAACAAAAGAAAATCTCTTAGGCCCATATCACACGGGGTTTGTTTCACACGAACAAATGTTTGAGACAATTTCTCTGCCTGGTTTACTATTGAAAGAAAGACGTGCGACTTTTTCCTTCCTTTCGAAAAAAGTTGCAAGCTGTTCGTTTTCAACCAATCAGCTATCAGCGCCGAATGCTGTTAGCTTGTTTGTAATGGAGAACCAGTTTTCCCAGTGTTAACCCCAAAGCGAGCTGTGGTGATTGGCTGTTGTGACAAAGTAGAAAAATTGTTCCAAACAGTTGTTCTTTCCAAACAAACCGACGTGTGATAGCAGCCTTAAAGTTCCATACCTAGTATTCACTGCAGTTCGATGTGGCCTTCATCCATGCCGTCACAGTCTACTCCGCAAAGAAAAATGGTCCCATCACTTTATCATGCATCAGGCCACACCAGAAATTCACTTTAGGGCTGTTACGTTCGTACTCTACGAGGGCATGAGGATTTTCAGCAGCCCATATTTGGATGTTATCTCGATGAACATATCCACTAACAGGGAATGTCGCCTCATCGCCAAACACAATCTTCTGCAGAAATCGGTTATCATTGTCGACCTCATGAAGCATATCTGTTGCAAACGCAAATTGTTTGGGGTCTCTCCGTCGGTTTGATAGCGTGCAAGAGCTTCTTAGGTAACTCTTCCATATAGCCTCTACAGACTCGTCACTAACCGATGGCCTGCCAAAACTAGGTTTCTCCAACAAACAGCCGGTACCCATCAACTGCCTATCCCACCGATTAATGTTATTTCTATGTGGTGGCGGTTCGTTTTAGTATAGGCGACGATATTCACGTTGCACTTTGATCACGGATTCGAATATGGCAAGCCACAGAACACATTGACTTTTCCTCTATACGGTCCACATCTCGACTGGTGTGGCGTGGATGGGCTGATCTGCTCCTTCGCATTTCGCGGTGCTGAGTCAGCACCTGTGTGAGCACATGCTTGCACATAATCTTACGGAAACTTGAAGAGTTTTCCTTTTGTTTGGTGAAGATTTCACATTTCTATCTTGTTTTGTTACTTTTCTGTGACCGAACGAACGTGCACCATGACTTTACGGACGCACTAAATATATATATGTAATGAAACTGTGGTTTGAAGGTGGCAGAGTGGAAAGCATGATGACGCAATTTAGCACAACATATCTTGAAAAATCACAATCTTTATTTTTTCCATGCATATCAAATCATCCTTTTTCAGATAAGATATTTCTTAATAATATTTGAATACATAAATTGCAGTTTGAATTAGAACGTTATCGTAAGCAACAGCAGCATGGTTTATAAGCGTCTTGCCAGCAGGAAAGCTATTCGGTAAAAATGGAAAGATTATAGTACTTTCATAGCAAGAAGGCTGAAGTTTCAGTTCGCAGTTTTGGTTTAGATGTAATTTGATTGGACGAGAGGCATCTGCATTAAAACGTTACGTAAGACAGAAAAGTCTGGAACCTGTGAGTAGAGATGAATTTAGGGGCAGATTACCAAATTTAGAATGTTAATTTTGAGGTCGTCAATTATTTTTTTGAAACAGCTATCATAATTCGTTATATCTTACATATCCCCCCCTTCAAAAGAAAAGTTGGGTGATTTATGAATGCATGTAAATTTTTTATATTATATTATTATTATTATATTTTTTTATTATGGAATGTATTAGTGCAGTTTTCAAAAGGCCAGTTACCTTAATGCAAGGAACGGAGGCCTTTTCAAGTAACTGTCTAGGGCACCCTGGGCCACCTAGTGCAGACAACACACTGGTTAAGCTCATGAGGACAGTCCTATTGATGGATATGTTTGTTTAGAAGTATTGCGAGGCTTCCTTCCAGTTATGGTAAAATCGGGAATTGCAAATGAAAGATTAAATGACGGTGAAACCATAATTTCTGAAAATCTGATTACTCCTATTATATTTATCAGTATAGAAATCAGTATCATAATATTTATGTGCATTACATTTTTATTAAAGCAATGATTATGTAAAAGTTTATTTTGTGATACTCTGTGATAACAAGAACCTTCCCTGAAGAATTATGATTATGTGAACTCTCAAACAAAAAGACTTTTTTGGACTGAAATGCTAAAAAATTCAATAGGACTCTAAAAATTTATATTTATAAATTATACTTTACAGGACAAAAATTTTATGATTTAAGTTTTTTTTTTTTTTTTTAACATTTGCTAGTGCTTTAACTCTTTCTCTTTAAAAAGGCTTCTCTGTCCCTACGCCTTTTTCTTTTGAAGGGGGGGATATGTAAGATAAAATATATGAATCAGAATTATAATATAACTATAAACATTAATTTTCCTCTCTATTCTAAAATCGTAATACTTCTCTGCATTGCGTCATTTCTAGATCATTCTATGGCCTGCGCAAGCTCTGGTGACGTAATAATTGGGAACTGAAACTGTCCATTGTAAACTAAAACGCTTTCCTCTTCGCGTGCTTCCATCTTGTATAACTACGCACTTCAGCTTCTGTCTCTGATTTACTGTGCTAAGATGTAATTTTCGCTGTGCTTGCTTTGCTATGGCAATAATATCAAAAATGTAAATATTCTGTGGTAAATATTCTTGAACAGGCACGACTAGAGTGGCCAAGTGATTGTGGCCACAAATGTCAATTGGAAATAAAAATGGAATCAAAATCTGCCTCGACTGCCAAGTTCTTTAAATACTACGCAATCAAAATTCTTCTTCAATATGGGTCTAATCACGCATCGACACTGCTCCGGCTTTTCCTTTGCTTTTATTATGACATATATATATATATGTTTCCGTGAAAGACCCAAATTACAGAATGTCAACTTTCAACGGAGAATGTCAACATTCACCAAATACGTCGGTGAAAAATCGAATATTGCGTTACATTCTTGTACATTCGGACCCTCACCGGTGAGTGTCGACAATCACAAATATGCTCTGGTGTAGGTCGAAGAGAGAGGAGTAAATGTACACGCTGACATTGCAAAAGGAAGTGTTCCACAAATAAATGCAGTTGTAAAAGTAAGGGCCTCTTGTGCAATTCAAAGTGTTGTAAGGATTATGTTAATTTTGTTAACAGTTAAATTTTAAGTTCCTTTTCCTGTCAAACTCTTAGGTTCAACTTACTACTTCCAAGCAGAACGTAGTTTTTTTAGAATCCAGTCTGATACATATGAGGAAAAAGCGGTATTTACCGCGAAGTTCTTTGGTCTTAGAGAGAGAGAATCAGGTTCTGATTTACGCGCGTCGCCTTTGGCCACTCTCTCTCTCTCAAAGCTGTTCTTACGCTCGGCCGTATCAGGCCCTTGATAAGCTTCTAGTCAAATAGAATTAAGGGGACAACTAGTTCGATCTTGATAGCTTCGGCTATACTTCTTAATTAATCTTAGTTTTAGTTTAATTTTTAGTTCTCTTAAGTTCAAGCCCAAGTGTCGGCTTTGATTGTACACTCCAAGACGGAGTTTTGTTAAATCTTATTGGAATAATAAAGGGTTAGTTTGTAAGGATCCTAAGTTTTACTAACGTTTATTTTATTTTAAATCTTTACTATCACTTCTTATTTTCTACTTCCGGCCAGAATTAAAAGCTTTAACTTATTTATGCAAATTTGTC